AATTTGGGGTAGATAAAAGAACATCCCCAAGGAAGCCAATGCTTGTGGAAGCAGTGGAAGACCCATCCAGGCCAGTGGATTTGAAAATTGGAAGGTCACTTGTAGCAGATCATCAAGTAGTACCTATAACAGTAGCCAATTTCTCCAAATGTGAGCAGACACTTAAGGAAGGGGCATTGTTGGGTGTGTGCCAGGAGGTAGAGCCAGTCAATGTTAAAGCAAGAAATACAAGTATAAAGAAAGGACATACACTTCCAGAACATTTAACTGACCTCTATAAGAAGAGCATAGTCCATTTGGCATCATCACAGGCTCTTCAGGTAAAAGAACTTTTGGGAAATTATGCAGACGTCTTTTCGAAAGGAGATCATAACGAAAGAATAACTACACTACAGTCAGTCACTTTATTTCAAAAATAATATTATAAAAAGTATAATATCATATAAAATGAAACAATTTATAAAAGGTATATTTCAATAAAAATATTTCCTGTGAGATATTTATTTTTATATAGAGTACTACTACTATTTATTAAAAATAACAAATGATGTTTATCCTCATAAAATATAGGGATTATAAAATTCCAATAGTTGGTTGTTTTAGAGCAAAACCACATTAGATTATCTGCTGTCTCCACCCGGAGAATTGAGCCTCGAACTTTAGCGTTGTAAGTCCGTAAACTTACCATTGACCCAATGCATGACGATTCCAATAGTTAAAAAGGAGTTTGTGCATAATTTATTTTCATTTAGCACCAAAAATATTTAATAACTAGCTGGAGTATCCTTCCATGAGCGGAAGTTATGTAAATTCATGATTAATGAAAGGTTATCTTAGGACGTGAAAAGTTGCTTCCCTTATATGTGATTGTAAAAAACGTCCATAAAAATTGCAAAACACAAAATGTGAGACCGCAAGTTTGCATGTATCTCCGTATGGACACAACAAACCCAATTTTACAAGCCAAAATTCTTGCTTTTTCTAATCCACGTGCTATGTTTATATATTTAGGTGTTATAATAATAAATAACAATATCTATGTTATATATTAAACGAAATTACAAATTGTTCTATTACCTACTTTAGATTTTAATAATGTAAGCTTGAACTTCTTTTAACAGTATATGGCATGATGTTTTTAATTAGCAGTATATAAATATATAAACCTACTCGTGTTAAGTTCCATTACAGAGTTGGATTGACAATTTCAGAAGAAAAGCTGTCATCACCTCTAGTAGTACCTTTTATTTATGTTATTTTTCTGCTTCATTAAGAGCAGTTACCTTCTCACAACTGGATGCAGGTGGTGAATGATAGTTTTAGATTTATAACATTACAAACTTGTGTATCTATACCTGTTGCTAATTTTAAACTTCTAATCTAATTTCATGAGTGAGTTATGTGAAAGACGTATAATCTCATGGACATCGTGGGTCCTACTTCCATAAATATTATCTTAAGATACATTCTGCCATTCTCATACTGTGGTCTGTACCTTAATTTTTTGGCCAAGTTGTTTGACATTATTCAACCAATCAGAGCTTCACGTGGCCGTTGAAAGCACAAGCTGGTAAAAAGTTAATTAACGAGTATTCTTTACTTTCAGAATAGTAACTTGTTACATGGTATACTTATAAAGAAATGTTAATGAATCTAGAAAACCACATGGGATGGTTAATATGTTTTGTATATCAGAATGTAATTTTTTAAGTTTAATCTTTCTATTGAAAGAATAAATTTCCTGAAAGTTTGCAAGCATTTATAATTCTTTTAACCCTTAAAAGTTTACCTAGGACTAATGCTTATATATCACCGCTAAACAACATATTAAAGTTTCAATAAATCATCAAACTTTTCATGGTTTCATATACTTTAACAACTTAAGTATACTGAAATCATATTTGTCATATGCAGGGATATAACCTCAAGTTTTATTATTATGCAGCTGAGCCACTGGGGGCATATTGTGTGCTTTGAATGTTCATGCAACAAGGGTTATCTGCACTTACAATCCCAAAATTTTAAACTGAATAGATTAAGGAAGGCAGGTAATCAACAGCACTCATCATTAACACTTAGGCTACACTAATCAAATAGTGGGACTTGACTGTCACTTTTATAATGCATGAAAGGCCTCAAAGTGCACAGTACAATTCTATGGCAATGGGACATAAACATGCTCTTAGATCCATAGTTCAGTTCACTAGCATGGCCCAAGGTATACTTAAGTCAATTTTAATTATTGACATCTATTATCAAAATTTAAATAAAAGTCTTTATTTTTCCATTTAAATCCCACAGTACAAAACATGTTGCAATTTAGTAGTAATTAATTTAGATTAATCTGGAGCATTTTGCAAACTGAGGTTAAACATAAACTATAAGCTGTTGATATTTAGGAAAAACATGTTCATGCAGAAACTGGTAAATATAGTTTATGAAACTAGGTAAAACAAAAATAATCACCATAATAACTTCTCATTTTAATCCATATTTTTTGTCTTGTAAACAACTTAAAATTGTTTTATATATTTTACTTGTTATTTACTAAATCATTCTTGCCTATAAATATATTTTTATTATAGGATTAGTATGTTCCTCCTTAAAATAAATAATTTTTCTATATTATATCAACGTGTATTGAATTTATAGTTCATAATTAATTAAGCTCAGTTTATTCCCATCTAAATAATTATAAAAACTGAATTAAGAAAAAGTTAACTTTTCCTATACCAGTAATATTTCTAAATATGGTGATATTTGTTTACTCTGTGTAAACAATTTCACTTTAGAAATTAATATTTTTTAAACATTTGTTCTACTGTGAAAAGTCTGCTAGGTACAATGTTATAAAGAAAAAAATAAATAACTAAATTCAAGGATGGCAGTACAATGGGACAACAAAATACCAGTACAACACAAAATATTCACATATTAAAAGATGTAATGTGATAAAGATACCCAGTTCCTTAAACAAAAACATACATACCATCAATTACACTGCAAGTGACACTGAAACACAAGGATGAATGAATGAATGAAGCTTGAAAACTTGTACTCAGTTACCGTGTATCACAAAATCTTCTTAGTCATCTTTCATAATGCAGTTATCTAGCTTGTGTGATTGTAGTAGTTATTTGGTATTACTTATATTAATAATTACAAATAAAAACTCTTCATACTTCCAAGTATTCTAATTTTAAGTAAATAATACACTATTGGAATCATTATGAATGAATGGCTCATAAATGAAATAAACTTACCCTATATTAAACACATCTAAACAGAACAAGAAAAAGTACGATTTAAAATCAGTGTATAGACACACATGATGGTTACAAACACTACCATTAGTAAAATTTCTGTACACTGTAGTAATGGGACATTTGTTACATGCACTCCCCTGTCATTAACATTAAGCTTCGATATCATGACTAACAGCATCATCAGTATACTTAACTGTCATATTCAAGAGACAAATATCTTTCTGTTTCTGATGAAATATAATTTGAGAAACTAGAAGAATAATGTTTTGAATATTTCTCTGTAAAAGGTATATAGAACTCAGATTTAGAATTACCACAAACAAATATAAGGAATTCTAACTTATTTAAATCTCTGATATTCCATGTTACAGAATCACAAATATTCAAATGTTTCAGTCTCAACTAAATATTACTGAAAATACTGTACAAATGTAGTTATAATACATTAATTCCATTCAGTTGTACATGTATGAATCAAATATACAAATTATGTGTGTGTGTTTATATATATATATATATATTCAAACACCATAAATTACTATAATGATTTATTTGTTTGGTGTATAATCATTAATAACATTTTCATGAAAGCTACATTCACCTTCACACTTTAAAAAAAATTAAAATAAGGTTATTCAAATCATTAGAAAACAGGTAAATTAAGTTCAGAAAAAAAACCCATAGTTGTATATCAAACATTTCAATAATGTACTGTCAAAATATTCTACTACTTTAGCAATACATTTATGTTTGTTTACTCATGCAAATGTTGGCTCTGTAAATTTTAATTTTCACAAGGTTAAGAACGCACTTTATTTTAGAAAATCAGAACTAAAATATAGTATATGTTTTTCTTCATTAACCAGAGTATTATTTAATTCATCGACAATTTAAGTTATGTTCTGATGACTCTTCCATTAACTTTTAGTGAAAAAGATTTACAGAATCTGAATAAAAAACAGCATAATTAAGTTTAAAAATAAAATTGTTATTTATAAGCCATTAAAAATGCAAAAATTTGATACAAAAAATTTATTAGTCACCAAAAATTACCTAAATATGGTATGGATCCGTATCGCCTACTTAAGCCAAGACTGGAACATGGATTTGATATGAGCTTTATTGTCAGGAAATTAATAATAGTGAACATTATACTGTAATTAAAAATATGATATATATATATATCAACTTGAATAAATACTTTAAAATATTCTTCAAAATAAAGTGAATTAATCAGAAAATAATGAACATGATAAGTAACTCATAAAAATTTCTCCTTTTGTGAGTGTGAAACACAGTCTATATTTTTCATTATTTATCTTCTCAACTAACTGATGTTCTTCAGTAAGTAAATTGGATGACATTATGTGACTGAAAGTAAAACGAATGACTATATTACTGGTATCTTACATTAGAGCTACAGATATGTAGAATACTCAATTAAGCAGTATAGAAATGGATAAAATGATTCATTTCTCCGTCCACAAATCAAAAGAGCTGTACTGTGACAGACGGGAGATAATTCTAGATAGGCTGAAACTAATAATGGAAGAAACTGCAGAATATCAATTTGTTTCCACAGAAGTTCAGTAGAGAAAATTACAGGTTACATATTCCGATCAATACTTCATCAGGCCTGGCCATTTGTCAAAGTGAATGTGATTAAAATTGTGTTTTAAAGTTGTTAAGATTATCAACATTCTACTTCTAATCAAATCACATGATTCTTGAGGCATTCAAAGAGACACACTTAGTTTCTTTCCTTTCCCTTATTCTTATTCACTTATAAGTCATATCACTGGTTTTATTCTCACACGGTCTGACTTTTTCAGGCACTAACCGGTGAAGTTTCTCTTCTTGGCACAAGTTACTTGATGAAGTGCAAGACCATGCATCTAACTTTTTCATGTAATTACTACAGCAAAATAACAACTGTAGTATTACTATTAATATCCCCAGGATAAGAAAAACTTTATCAATCTTCAGAGAGGTGTATCACCCATATCCATGAGCTTGTGATGATGCATGTAATCCAGAAGACCTCGGTAGAGAAAGTCATACTGGCCCTAGAAATGTAGATATACATGATTTTACTTAGACATAAAAAAAGTGTTTAATGTAGGATCTTATTTCTCATTTGGTTTTCCTTGACATGTTATATAATACTAAAAAATATCTATGTAAATTCTACACCATTTATGAGAAATGCAGACGTTTATGAATGTTTTATTTTATTAATATCTACATTTACTGAATACTCTAAATCTACATTAGTAAGCAAATTTATTAAAAAACTGCATTTAATGTTAATTCTGATTTACTTTAAAAAAATTATCTCCACAAGTTATTTCATATTGTACTTGTGAAATTTAATTTAGGATACTAGAAGCATCAATATGAATAATCCAAAGTAAAATATTACACAAATGATAATTTCTTAAAGTTTACAAATTTCCCTGCTTTAAGTAAGTGAATTATTAATTCTTATCATATTTTCTTTTATAATTAAATATAAGTATTAGTAACTATGTAGCATTGTCATGACTGCTAATCTCAATATCTATGTAAGAATATGAATAAAATAGCCAAAAAGTAAGAAATAAAATTCAATAGGTACTACCATACATGAATTATTGGTCTGAAACAGAAAACCTCTGACCAAAAGTAACTAATGGTGAATACATAAAGAAACTGTAATGTGCATTCTTATGGATTATTACTTCCAATCATTAAATAATGCAATTTTTAACAAGCCTGTCAAAAATATTAGAGCATTTAGCTCTCAGGGAACATTTCCAATCAACTTTACATTATTGGTAATTCTTATGAGCAACCTATTAGGTAGTTAAAATGTTCTACACAAAATGCATTTATATTTAACTGCACATTCAAAAATCTGAAACTTAGTATCATCTTACAACCATTATAAATGTCAATGGAAACAATAATAATTTTATAATTATAATCACACTTTCTTAAAACATTTATTAATGGAATACTGTATTTTATCTAACAATATCTAGGACTCACTATTGTTTGAAGCATGCACTGACGCTGAGAACGTGTGTGTCGTGCAGCTTGGAAGACATCAACCCTTTCTTCTAATTTCAACTGCTGGATAAGCACACTTAAAGTGATATAAACACTACTTCTGTCTCCTCCTCCACTGCAAGATCAATAATTATCAATTTCAAGTAGTCTGAATGTGGGTACGTTTGTTTCTATTTAGCACAAAATTAGAGCAGTTATCACCTAATAATAGCCTGTTTAAAACACATGAAGTGTTAAAGGAAAAAATTCAGTTAATTAGTAGCCACTAAAAGCTTACACAAGTTTCCATATAAAAATCAGGGTTTCTTTCTGTAGCAATTGTTTAAAAAAAATGGAAATTTATTTGAGAGGTTTCAAGCTATAAATCTGAAAAATGCTTTACATCAAACACTGATAAACAAAGTACTTAGAAAAACTGAAATTATTACTCAATAAACTTGTATAGTTTTACATAAACGATTTATATAAATAAATTTAATATAAAACATAAAAGACACACCTTACTCACTATTTTTCACATTATTAATTTTTCTTTTTTTCATATACATAGTTAAAATGAATTCTAATGTATTTTTCTTGTAAGGTATAATATGGTTAGTCCACTTGATTTGATTTCATCTAAGTAATCCAGACAAAGGTATTCCATATCAACATCCTTTTCATGACGTTTCTCAAAAAACCTGAGCTTAATTTCTTTCTTTATGAAGCATATTCACCTTCATACTTCTATTTCTGCTCTGTTAACATTCTAATGCTCAAAACACATGTAAGTTAAAATCTCAGCATAATAGCAAGGACAATACTTCTATATGACGTTTTTAACCAACTTCCAGGAGTAACATATGGTGATGTTAAACCTCCTTCAGACAATACAGACTTTTGTGTGTTACATATGGGTACATAACATATGGCTACACTATCAGCTTGAGTCATATTGCTATCAAGTAAGCATTAGGACTTTCCATACTTACCTGCAGTGTACTGTGAGTGGACTATTGGTAAAATCCAGGGCTTGAGTTAGCTGTACTTCTTCTATTAACTCTATGAGGTTCACAGTGCTCTCTGGCACTGCACTTGGATTACCTGAATCCGACCATCTGAGAAACTGGTAATGAGTAACAACATGGTTGTCGTTGTTCTGGAAAAGTTACAAAAGTTTTAAATGCTAAATTAAAACAAAACAAAAGTCACTATGTCATTATTGAAATGAAAATAGATATACTGTTTAGAAAGAATCTTTCTTTTAAAACCTACTTGGCATTTTTACTATGTATAATTTGTCTTAGAATTTAATGAAATCAGTGAGTGAGAATTACTTTACTAGGAAGTTATTATACAGTAAACTAATATTAATATCACAGTAAACTATATATAATACCTATTACTTGAATTATGGTTGAAAATCCAATGGAATTTAGAAACATATTATCCCGAAAGTTCTATGAACAATGAATTTTGAAGAGAATCCTTGTGGCATAAAATACAGACTAGCCGCATAATTAGGATCTCCCCTTACATTTGTTCTTGTAGCAGGGTTGGTTCTTTGATTTCTTTAGAAGAGCAAATAATATCCAAAAGCACATGAATGATTGATGCTGACAATCTCCAACTGACAAAGCTGGACAGGAATCTTCTAAGACATTAACTCATTAGGTGTGTACTTTTATTCAGTCATATCATGCTCAAAATAATTGTCAGATAATTCAGGTTCAGAGACAGAATTATTGAATTGTGAAAACACTGGAATGATTTGATGTCATTTTGAGTCTGTTTTCTCATAAAAATTAAACAGTTTTCAACTGCAAGTATTACTGACTTTTTGAAAAGCAACATACACCATGTTTGATATAAATAAGTGGCCGAGATCATCATCTGTGCAGATTTGGCTTTTTCTATTGATTTTGTGCACTCAAGTCACATTTCTAGCAGGTATTTCAAACTGCATTATGTGGTTGCCATATGACAATGAGTGCACCTAAAAGGTTAATGCAACACTTCACTATGTTTGTAGTGTTGTGCAAAATTGGTTTGAAGAACACAACAGTTACTTCATTCCTCTTGCAATAAATCTGAACATTGCAACTATCAACATAATCCTATGACAACATCTTTGAACTGGAGATCATAATCTCCACAAATGGGCTACAATGGAACAGAAGACCAAGCATTTTGTGGAATTTATTTTTGTACTAAATCTGGATGTCCAGGTTATTATTATAAGAAAAGGTAGTCCAATCTGTTATTAAGTCATGGTTTTAATAAAGTGACCAGTCACTACATTAACGAAGCAAGCTTCTCTCGATTAAGGTGATAATGTAATTAATATTATAAATTTTTAGGTATTCTAAACAATACAGTGTTCCAGTACTGATTAAATAAATTAACATTTATGAGTTTTTAGAATAATTTTACAACAAAATTTGAAGAATCCTGAAAGTTCTGAAGAATTATAAATAAATTGTCCCTACTTAAATATAAAAACAAATCTTTAAACTAAGTTTACAATTCTTAATTTCTAAGCAAAATGTTTTCCTATGATAACATAAGTAATTAAAATTCAATAAAACTTCTAAAAAACTGATACCTATACAGTATTTTACCTTGACATTTGTAACATTAAATTCTCTCTTAATAAATAAATCCGTTTTTTCTTCCTTCTGGAATGTCACTTTGATGTAGTCATATTCTTGCTCTTCTGTTGGCCAATACTGTGGACACTTTGTCTGGATATTAATATATATATATATATATATTAGTGAAAAAACGACAGTCAACTTTATATATTTAGCAAAGATAAAATAACTAAGCAGAATAGATGTAAAATTATTTAGAGTTTATAACTACATAAACACAAATACTTCACAGAAAACATTAACATTATGGTATTTTTGACAATGCTGTAAGATTTGTCACATCTTTTATATTTTGAAAACATTACTTTACCTGCCCTTCTCCAAGCTCTGAAAGCATCACAACAGTTTGAATGTTGTGCTCCTTGATCATCCTCCAAAACTCGACTTGTGTGTTTTCTAGTGGATCCTGAGTAATGATGAAAGACAGGGACCGATTATAGCCCTAGGGAGTTAAAAAAAAGTCTATTAGACAATTTTCATTATTTTTTTTTCTACAAGAGTAGAAAGTTCATTAGAGGGTAAAAAAACACTGTAACCATAAAAACTATTAGAATATTTCGTACTTAATGGCCATCATATCAACATAAGATGTAGTGGCATACACTTTGACAATATTTGTTGGCTAATTTCTAAAACAAGTCCAAACTTAAGTTTACACATTAACAAACAATTTATTTAATTTTTAATCACAGTTAATCAGTGTACATATTTTAATACGCAAAAATTATTTCAATACTTTTAAAAATAGAAATGTTAAAATATTAATTTATGATGCAAAAAAGAAAAAGAAACCTATAATAAAATGTATTAAAAACAAAAATTTAAGTGATTTAACTTGAATGTTGTATGAGTAGAAGAAAAATCAAACATAAAAAGTAAAAACACATTTATATGAATTATGTCTGGTTTTTAAGATGAAGTTAAAACAATGAATAGAAAAACTAAAATTTTTTAGAAATCAAATTAATCTTCTTTTTATTTAACTGAAATTCAGAACTGAGTACAAGTTTACAGATACAGAAACCATATTTAAACCTTTATTCTCACCTCAATGAAAGATGCATTAATGTAAGAAGAGTGGTCTCTGGAAGCAGTTGGGGGAAGTATCACACGATTTGTATCATCTGGCAGAAATATAATGCACACAATTTCAAAGCTACAGTTGTCATCAACAAAAACTGTTTTTCCATCACAATGTTACCTACATACAATCTATTTTATGTCAATGTAGTTAACATGGTTTTGAGTAAGCTGTAGAGATAATGACATTACTAAAAGTTTTAGTAAGATAATACATGCAGAAAAATGCAATATAAAAGTATTATTTAATACAGTTCATATAAATTTAAACAAGGAATTGAGCTAGTAAATAGCTTTTAAAGTGTGATTCTACATGATCAACTAATTTTAAAACTAATACAAAAATATGTTACATATTTATTAACCTTTGGTTGAAAACATCAAACTAGTGTTAAATACAGATAAATTATCAACAAACTTTGTCTAAAGATTATTTGCCTAGTAATCTAACAGGTTTTTTTCTTTCTTTAAATAAAGACATTGTAAAATGATTTGCCAAAAACTTGTTACTAACTTACATGGTATGATAAAATTATATCTATTTTTGCTCAAATTAATATCCATTGTTCCAACACAACAAGTCTTGGGATCTTCAATCACATCTCCAAGTTTCTACACAGAAAAAAAGTGTTTAATGCTTTTTATGCAACTAACACTGCAAGTGATGTATAAAAAAATCACATACAAAAATATTAATTATTTAATGATGATGCATTACCTAACTGTTATTAACTGAGCCCAATTTTCTATTTTATTTATTAACAAACTCATCTCATATGCTTAACTACTGCTTATAATTTCATGGACTGGATAAAGAAATGCAATCTTCATGAGCTTCACAAGTCTACTTTTTTACATTTTAGCTTTAATTTTATCATTATATCATATTTGAGGCTAAGAATTATTGTTTTAATGAAATCTATAAGTCTAAAGGACAATGTTTTGGTATTTGGTATTTTCAACCTGAACAGTCAGGTTAGACCTTTAGGATCCAGGTATAGCCAATTCTAATTTTTAACTACTGACCAGATGGAAGACAGTGAGTCAGCAGTAAACGCTGTTACAAAGACTTTGTCTACCTTTGAATAAAATAACAAAATTAACTGTTTTTCCTACAATGCACCTACAGCAGAGAGTGCAGTGTGTTGAGCAGCATTACAGTGCAAACCTTCTGATCCACAGCCTGGCATACTAACTACTAGTCCACATCTTACCTGCTTGTGTTTTGAAAATACAAACATGGCAAAACACTACAAAGTCACTCAAAGAATACACTTACTGTTTACACTCATAATATCCACACTGACTAATAACTTGCATCAAACTCTATGAGTGAAATAATTTTACAGTAACCTAGGGCTTAGAGTTTACTTATCTCATTCCCCTAACTTAGCTTGTTTGCTCAGGAAGTGGAAGGAAGATGAGAATATTTACAAGTGATGCTTTAGTGTAATTATATTTTGATTCAACCAAATGAAGAAGTTAATCAGAAGAGTTAAGAATAATGACACAGTGAAATAAAATATTAACATCCAGTAAATCTTAATACAGAGATCTCTTACTTTAAATTCCAACTGTAGTCCTGTAGTTTCATATTTGTTCATTTTTCCTCTCAACTGTGCAAAATGATCTCGTAAGTGTCTCATCTCTATCTCTGTGTCACCAAACTGAGCATATTCCATTAATGCTCGGTAAACAAAAATATATTGTTTCTGTGGAGTTCAGGAAAAGAAAAATAATATACATTTTTAACAGAATTACAACTCTTATAATTTCATTGTAACATAAAAATTTGTGGGAAATAACTAATACTTCAATACAATGTGCAGTTTTAAAGCAGTATGGTAGTTTAGTTGAATTACTATTTGTTTTATACATAGAGAATAATAAGAATAGAACTAGGAATTAAAATTAATAAAACATATTCTTGTTGGAAATAATTCTATGTACCTTCATGAAATATATATATTCACCAATTCTAATAAGCATTCCAACTATAAAAAGTGGACATCAAAGAAACAAAGCCTGTTTTAGTTGAAGATAAAAAAAAAGGTACTATTATTTTTTCTGTATCTACTAAGTAGTTTACTTTTGGATTTTACTTCCTTATAATCCACATTCAGAAGTGTAATGATTTCAAACTAAATAATTTGCATAAAAGCAAAACTTCTACAATTTATCATTTGTGAAAATTTTTAGTATGTTAATAAATGTAAATACTTTATAAAAAAAAACGTCTCAGGTTGACTGTTTAAGATTCAGTTATGCCATTATTTAAAAATATAATAGTTAACTTTTAATCTTTATCCATTCACATCGGTAAAGTTACAAACTATATTGTTGTAATACAAGGTTAGTGTGTAAAACAGGTATTGTGATTTGTAACTTAGCCAAAAAAAACATAAATATTCCATTCATGTCAAGGACTTTACAAATTTAATGTAACTAAGAAGGGAGACTTGTACAGCAGTCACTAATATATACATATATACAATGAATATACAAGGTTAACTATGTTTATTAACAAAAAATGATTAGCACAATGATGCTGTTGAAAATATACAACAGGATTTGATTTATCTTGGTCTATCTTCTTAAAATACTGTTAAAACACGCAGTATCTTTTCTACAATAATTATCATTGTGTTTACAAATCATTATTTCTTGATTTACTGATGTATTAGCACAGGTAAGATTAACACTAGAGACAAGATCAAATAAACTTAACAGAAAGAGTAAGTTGTTATATAGCAAATATCCACTGACAAATGTGGTTCACGTAAAAAAAAAATATTGCTTTTTTAGTTTTAGTAACAATTTCAGAAACACAACAACACACTATGATATTCAGTATTTTACTTACAGGTGAAAATTTACTTGTACTGCAGAGAGTGCACAGAGGAAAGAGTTTTGTATATAAAGTATGTTTAATGTTAAGTACATATTTTTATTGATCTATACCACAATTATTCTTTTACATTCTGAACTGACCAGAGATTGTACAAGATAATTCCGAGAATGCCGGAGGTCAGAGACGCAGGCATAGACATTGACCTGTCCTTCATCATTCAATTCTTGTAATAGTGTATCTATAGCAACAAATGTCCCTGTTCTTCCTACACCAGCACTGCAATGAAGCAGTTAACAATAACAGTTAAGAGAAGTAAATATCCACATATAAATGCAAAGTAAGACAATGTTTAAAAATAACAGTACAGGAGTCACATATTCAATAATGGTCAATGTCAGTCATGTGAGATAAGCATTCAAAGATGATAGTTAAATGAAGTAAATATTTGATATTAATAGTTAAGAGAAACACATGCTTTCAAATCATAGTTAGGCAAATGTTTATAACATTAGCTAATGAAGCAAACTTTTAGTGCTGCATGTGTCAAGTAAACAACATGTACAACAAAAACTGATGCAATTACTAAATAATGAAAGCAAAGCAAAACTTCAGTACTGACAGCAAAGTCAAGCAAAATGGTTAAAAATAACAGGTAAGTGACAATTGTTTAGTATGTTAGTCTTGTGAAACAAACTCTCAACATTTAAGGAGACAGTCTGACCATTGTATTATTTCCCCAAAAGGGGCCAAAGGTCACCTGGAGGGGGTCACCTATTTTAACTACTTGCACAATTATACAGTAGTGTGTTGTCTGTCAGTCAGTCAGTAGACACCAAAATGGTGCCGCATAAGAGATGCTTAATGTTGCAATTTGTACTGTCGTGATTTCAGTAAAATGTGCTTATGCCATGAGTCAGGAGAAGAATTATGCAGTCTGTAGGCTAAAACACAGAATGACATATGATCTTCAAAAGCAAGAAATAAAAACATTCGTTACTCTTAATTGTGGTTTTATTTACTTTTGAAACAGAACACTTTCTGGGACCCTGAGAAGTACATCTAGTATACTGTTTAGTTTGAACTTATCAAACAAAATGACATGCAGCTACCACAAACAGAGGTAACATTTTACTTGAACCAGAACATTTTAACTTGTGCTAATCTCATCACTAAAAACAAATTTTCTCTATCCATATTACATCAGGTCCAATATATTATCAATGTAAGGAGAAAAAACACTGGAACTTTTGTACTTAATATTTGACAGAATATGTTTTAAAAAATGTATGTGTATAATAGGCACATGGATATGTGGGCAAAAAAGATAGCTCAGAAGTGCATGACTGACTGAAAATTAAAATGTCAATTTACGTGAGTACAAGAGTCAGAAAGTAAAAACTTTTAGGCTAACTTACAGGATTTGTCAGTCAAAAGCAGTCCTCAAACTTGAGTAAACAAGACAATATTTTTCAGAAAGCTCGAAAAAACTAAATTACATTACATCTTATATTTTTTTCTGATACAATTGCTTTTCTAAAAGACTTAACTGTGAGCAGACCAGAAAAATAAGTGGTACAAGTACTGTAGTCTGCAAATATGCATGAATGCCAAAATAAAAATGTAGGGAGAAAGCGTAAATCATAAGAAGAATTATAGACAGTGAAAAATTCTGTCAGTAAATAAAATTTTACACAATTTTGGAAATGAGACTGCAGAAAAGATTCCTGCAGTGAGCAGTACATTACTTTGGAAATTTAAGCCTAACCTTATTTACTATGAAACTAATTAAGAGTGTCTGTATTAAAAGAGGACAGAAGTTCAAAGAGAAATCAACAGCAGCTTTTCAATCAATCACAAGTAAATATTATTGGTTGCCTTCCTTATTCCTGTCCCTGGGCACAGCCTTAAAAAAAAAAATACTGGTGGTATAGTATATATATTGTGTATGGATCAAGCTTCAATTCAGATTTATTAATAACGTATTACCTTATTTCCATTCCCGACAGTTTTCTTAAAGAAATCCAACATCAATCTATCTTTTATAATTTCTTTTTTAACACTCTGGTTCTTCTTCAATTTCATTCATGAAAGTCTGCAGTAAAAGTTCATCTACTAGTGCCTAAATCATATGCTACATAACACAATGTTCTGTGTGAACGCGATTTCAGCAATGTGAAACACGGCATATGATTGGCTGCATATGTGAGTATTAACCAATCAAAAGTGGTTTCATAGACTGCAACTAGCAATTAACAGCTGGTTATCAATTTGAAATCTTGGCAGCTACATACTGATTGTTTTTGTGAATATGGTATCTTACTTTACTTGCACCATAGTAAGTTTCAAACCCTGTACTGTAATAAAGATTCAGTAACAAAAAAGTATTCTTGGAGAATTTATGAAAATAGCTATAAATGGATAGAGACAAAAAGGTATATAGCACAAAATTTTGTCTAGTTTACCACAACCTTATATGTACTTTTAAAATTGTATTATGCATACTTATTACATCTTTTCTAGAAAATCTTCCAAATAAAATGTGAAAAATTATACAAACACTAGTTATTTTTTTACTTTTCTGATTTCTAAACAAAACTTTTTTTTTAATACCATGAAAGAAAGCACTATTCTGAAGAATTTTATTCTGTTGTAAAAATTAATGTACGATTATATTTCTCCAACACATTCTCCTCTACCTATGACTGGTAAATAATTGGTATCTAAGTTACAAATGTCACAAAACTGTAAAGAATTGATTTTTTTGTCTAGTTTTTATTTACTTATGGTGAAGTTTAGTTAAGGTCAATCCTAATATGAACAGTTTGAAGAAGCAACAGTTATTAGGACCCTAGTCATGAATAGTAATTTATTTCAATACTTTTCACAGCCTTAGACATTTTTTTGTGGCTTTTATTCATATTTTACATGTGGCTAGTGTAATTTTATATGCATGTTTAGCTAAAACAAACTATATTAAGGAAAACAATTTCACTTTATACAAGATACATATTTATACTTTCTGTTGTTATTTACAGAACACAAAGAAGAACAGTGGCTTTGCAAAAATATAAATACTAGAGAGGTTAAAAAATTAAACTACAGACTTAATAATAACAGTTCTTTGATGAGAGCAGATGATGAAAGATTCTATCAGTAACACTAATGAATCGAGTCTGGTCACTTCTTTATTCCTTCAGTATAAATTTTGTAATACGTATATTTTTAAAGAGAATTACATATATAGAATCAAGCAGTGATAAACCTTCATGAACTTCAAAAGCAAAATAAAACTATGAAATCATATATATAATAAATTGTAAAATAAATAAAAACAAGGCCTGAGGTATACCTTCCAAATAATCTTCTGATACAACAACAACAAAGACAAACAGTAATAATTAGCACCAAAAAAGCTGTAGTTATTAGTTTGAAATGAGTGGTCTATAGCCCAGAGAAATGCATGGTACTAAAGAGAATAATAACAGTAATCATTGCATGGATCAGAAAAATAAATAACACATGAATAGTTATTACTATTTATGTCAAATGTTTACCCCTGCACATTACTTTCTTTCATCAGAAATATATTTTTTTTCTTTGGTGTATAGATTCAAGCACTTCCTTTCAGTTGCTCAGAAACCAACAGCCAGAACATGCATCAAAATGTTAGCATGGCTGTATTGAATTATCTAAGTACATTTTGTTCTTCAGGTGTTAAACTATCATGTTCCTTAGAAATCACAGGTTAGCAATGGACCTTTTAAACTACTTGATTACTCCAACAGACAAAGAAAAATACTAGAATCATATCTTTTATAGATTAAATGTGTTGAAACTGTCTGAATAGACAAAATAATCTTTTTGAGTAGTATCATAATACAAGGATGTGTCTTTACCAATTAAATTCAAAATTCTTTATTATGTTTTATAGTTCACAAGTAGATTAAGAAGTTTAAATTAAATGCCATATTTGGTAAAGTAGTGTAGCTTAGTATACAGAATATTTCATCATGAAATTACAGATAAAAGAAACAAACACTGCTTGAAGATTTAAACATACAAACATTTTAACATTATTAAACTCTTAGTGAATTAGTAATTATCCTATGCCAAATATTTCATGGTCACTAATTTTCTTAATAAAGGGTTAAAGACTAAAAATGTTCTTCAAGAAACATTTTGTAAGAATCAGAGATGCATGATACTGAAACACTCACCTGCAGTGTACTAGTAATGGCCCCCTATCTGAAACATAATGTTCATTGACTCTTTTGATGAAACGTAGTAACCAGGAAGGCTGTTCTGGAGCTAAGAAATCCTTCCACATGACAAAATGAAATTGCAGAATTTCCCGTTCGTCCGTGAATCCATCCTTATAAAAATAAATTAATATCAGCATTGAACAGTTTTATAATGTTGTGTAGTATTCACATCACACTCTACAAGATTTTTAAATAACGATTATATTTGTATATGCTTGTATTATGAAATTATTATTGTGTCAATAGAATGTTTAAAATCTCTATTTTCAGCAATTCAATGTAAAAAAAAATTATATTTTTAACTATTAATGAAAGCTGTGGCATTTCTCTCTCTCTCTGTGTATACATTTCTAAATAGACACACAAACACAACAGGATCAATGTTATATTGACATTTATATAGAGACCTACTGTTAAAGAATGTTATAATTATCATAATATTCTACAAGTCATAAAACAGGCAAAATACACTGAAATGGTGCTTACTTTCTTGTGCTGTACTTGGAACCTTCTAACCAAATAATCTGAATACTTTGTGGTGTTAATCACATTTACTGTATACAACTTTTCCACTTCCTTTGGGTCATCATCAGACCAATACTGGGCACATTTCAACTTGAGAAAGAAATAGATTTTTGGTGCACATTTCTTTATTATCTAGCTTAACAACATACATAAAAGCTATCAACCTTAACATTATCGTTAAATAACTTTATTTAAAACTGGTAGGGAAGGAAACCTTAAACTCCAATAAAGAGTTATAATACCATAAACAGAATAACAAAATATTTTAGTCCTTTTTCCTATCAATAAAACATTTTATTTAAACCTTACAAAAAGAACTCAATTTTGTTTTCAGTGTTAAGAAGTAAACTCTTAAAAAATGGGAAACATGTAAGAAGATACAAAATAAAAAGTGTAAAAACACTACCAAAGCATCAACTTTTATAATGTTTTATCTAGAATGATAAATAATATAGTTTAATAAATTTCTGTTTGAAACTTTACAGGTAATCAAACATTATTAACACTTACTTTACCATGTTCTTCCACACCTGTCAGCATGACAACTACAGTCACTTTGTGCTCCCACATCATCTTCCAGAAGTCAACCACTGTGTGCTCAAGAGGACCTTGGGCACAGATGAACATTTTCCTTCCCCGATAACCCTGATAAATATCAATAAAGTTTACAGTGACTTTTCTTACTCAATGGAAAACAAGTTATATGATTTTAGTAAGAAAAGTTCATTACCCAGAAAAACTATTACTTCTAATGAACTGCACAATTTCAAGCTTATTTGGTACAGAAATAAAACAAGTTCTATTGTAATAATTAAATAAATGATCACAATTCTGAAATATATAAACTAACCATTAAACTCTTCTTTATTACTACCTGGTGAGATATATCTTTAGTTATCTTTTCATTCATAGCTTTAAAACTAATACAGTGATCACAATATTTCTAGTCACATTACCCCAAATCATACAGATATTATAAATATCATTTTAATATACTTTTCAGTTTATTACATTATGTTTTCTTGACAATGAATATGTCACAAAACAATCTTCTTGGCAACTATGGCTGAAATGACTTATGAAAGCTAAACTTTGATTGGATGTTTCAAGTTGGTAAAATAATTATTAATTACATCTATGCTTTTCCATATAATCTTTCAAAATAAGCTTTTACATCCTAGCTGCTGGTATGCCTTTTTTCTCAATGGTGTAGCTAGACAAGACTTCAACATTACTTAACACATTATTCTAAAACACCTACTTCCCTAACACATTATTCTACAGCATCTGCTTCCTTAACACATTATTCTACAGCACCTGCTTCCCTTACCTCAACAAAGTTTGCATTGATGTAATCTGAACCTTTAATACCATCCTCAATAGGAAGTTGAACTCGAGTCTGATCAACTGCAAGAAGACAATGATAAGGAAAGAAATAATTTTAACTTCCTTCCTCTTTACAAACAATTAACTTTGAAGAAGCGAGAAAAGTTTGACTCGTGCCATTTTATAATTTTCTTTTTCATGTTTTCATAGCATAAACTTATAAGTATGTACATATATTCTTTAAAATCAAAGTTTTTGATAATTTCTAAGCACAATGACTAGTAAAAGAAATAACAATGAGTTTCTTCCTAAATCAAACATGTACCATTACACTTGGATGACCACTAACATTATACTATAATCAAAACTGATATTAAATCTTTAAATATATCAATGCATACAACCTTAATATGCAATTACACTCAAAACTATCTAATATTGTATATTATCATGATAAAATCAATGTTAATACAGGGATTTGAAGAAAGAATCTATGGTGTAAAGGGTATTACAACTTTGGAAGGTTATGTTTTGTATAAAACAGTCATTACTCAAAATACAGTTTTGAAACTGACATGTAATATACAATTTTTATATAATTTCACAGATTTTTCAGTAAGTTATAAGGTTAAAAAAAAAATTGAAGTGCACACATCCTAGTGTACAATTGTTAAAATTAGATATGAAACTATTGAAAATTAGTACTTAGAGTTGGTATAACATAACGTTTTTGGGACAACATGGGACCTATTAGTTCATCTTGGCTGTCCCATACTCTAAATTAAACTAAAACTTTTAATAAATAATTTTTAAAAAAAATCTTAGTCAGCCCTTATCATTCATATACTTATCAAACTTTCTCTTAAACTCATTTAAACTTACTGCCTCCACAACATCGAAGGCAACCCATTCCAAAGGCCATCCACCTTGTTAGAAAAATAAAATAGTCCTAACTGAAGATGACTCCTACCCTGCCAAAATTTATACTTGTGTCCCCTAGTTCCACTATTCTCACTGTTAAGTATGAAAAAAGATGATGAATCAGCACTATCAATTCCCTTTACAATCTCAAACACCTCAATCATTTCCCCTATAACTCTTCTTGTTTCAAGACAAAACAATTTGAGAGATTTCAACCTCTCCTCATATGACAACACTTCCATCCCAGGCACCATTCTCTGAACCCTTTCCAACATTTCAATGTTTTTCCTAAGGTAAGAAGCCCAAGACTGAACACAATATTCCAAATGTGGCCTAACTAGTGACCTATACAATAAAATTATAACCTCTTTAGACTTGTATTCAATATTTTTGTAGATACAACCTAAAATCCTATTTGCCCTACCACTAGCAACAGCACACTGCTTGGATGGCTTTAGAAACTGATCAACTATTACACCAAGATTCCTTTCTTTCATGACACTGTTAAGGTAATTCCCATCCAAATTATACTTATAATTC